TACATATAGAGTCTTTGTTTTATTTACAGACATACTGCATTCATTTACAGCAGTAGCTGTAAATACAGTTTTAGTAGATCTCTTATTAATAAGAGCTACAGCTCATGGAGATTTATAAATTAACCCAGATACAGGTTAATATTATAGACATGTTAATATTATAGAGATGAGACTCAAACTCTCCCTCTCTCTTGAATTGATTTCAAGGATTTGACTTAGGTTATTGTGGAGCCTGCTCGTCTAATATCTACAGGGCAGGTTGGTCCATTGAAAACTCTCAATAACAACTTGTACAGGTCCTGAAGAAGCTTTTCACTTAGCTTGTTTTTAAGTCTTTCAAATGGTTGACTAGGACCCACTCACATCATCAAGGAAATCGCCATTACTTAATACCAAGTGGTTGTAGAAATTAACCTTATCAGCAAAGTATCTCCACACCTACCTACGATTTATAATTGGTTGAGTATCCAAGTTGCATAGCTTAGCCAAGTTGAAACAAAATACTATCATAAAATTTCTAGAGGAAATCTTAAGAAGAACTGAAAACTCTTCGTGGAAGTCATCAAAAGCTGGCCTACAACTTATTTGAATTGCAACAAAAAGAAATGTATAGAAAATTATGAAGAATATATCTAATTTGAGGACAAACTTAAGATGTGCTGATTCCCAGATATATACTTGACCCTAAAGTCTTTGCCTTATTTACAGCAGTAGCTGTAAATACATATTTGTCATATTGGATCCATTATGGATAATATATAGCTACCGTTCATGAAGATTTAAAAAACTAACATAGATATAAAGCTAATATGTTAGAGATGAGACTCAAACTGCGATATGTCTAAAGTCAAACACATTCCTCCCACAAAAAAGTGACTGTTCTATCTGCTTAATCTTTGTAGAGTCAGAATAATTCATAGATAGCTATGTTTTTATTTAGATAACTTTTTGTGTCTTCATATTTGTTGTTGTTATTGTTTGTTTCTTTTTTCAATAAATAAGCTCTGTAGTTTTAAGGAGTTAAATCTTAATGTTTGTATGAAGCAAGTGCATTTCGCAAAGGACATGGGGTCAAGTCTATGTAAAAGGAGATCAAAAGGAAAGATTTCTTGACAGATAGTATTGGACTTTCCCCCCATGACATTTGTCTTAAACTGCTCCTACTTTATCAGGAATTCAACCTCTCTGTCTAAGATACAATGCTGTTCAGATTTACTTTTTTGTTCAAACCTAGATTATTTCCTAGCTTAGTTCTTAAAATTCTCCTTTTGGAATCTGTCTTGATATCACTGCCACTTTACTGAAAAGGCAAAAATAAAAATATGGTATTATTCATCCATTGTTATGATTTATTATATTTACCTGGAAATTTTCTTCAACAAAAAACTTAATGGTAATATTTTACTGGACCTAATAAGTATCACATAAAGGGAATGGTAAGATGTCTATAATTTAGTAAGTTTCCTTATCGGGCTTTTGAGCATCGAAGGCATGTTTTTACTAAAAGGCTTTTTCTAATGTAGGGCAAGGCTTATATTGTTCTCCTATGGACTTGCATTGCTGCATTTCTTTGAATATTAAGGAGCATCATATTGTCTTTCATCCATTTTAAGATAGAATGATAATGATTTATCATTTTGTTACTTTTTATCATATCCCATCTTTTTGAGTGCTTTCAAGCACATTACCTAAAAGACATTGTTATACTTTAAAAAAGGACTGAGGTGGAACCATCAGTACAGAATGAAACGAAATCGGAGGCTTTTATGCTCTGACACAATAGTCTTGTCAGCGACCACTTCTGTTGTGAGACAGAGTTGGCTTACAGAAAAGATACTCTTCTTTTGTCAGAGATGCAGAAGAGCTGGAGGCAGAGATGAGTAGGATGAGTTACCAACTGTCTTACAATAGGATTTCAATTCAAGCAGAATCAGAAATCCTAAATGTGGAATTCAAGCACAATCAGGAGCTGAAGATGGTTGTCAGGAGCAGGAAGCTCATGCATGGTTTGGTTCAAGTTTCTCTGCAAACTTCACCTAGTATAATTCTCCCAAAGTTATCTTAGAGATACTGACTGATTTCTGACACTGAACAAGACTTTTAACCATTGGATCTTTCCTTTTACACATATGTATAAAGAATATATGTATGTATGCATGTGTAAATATATATGTCTATATACTATATATAGTTACTTATAAAATTTCTCAAGAAGAATATGCATATTTAAAATCCTGCAAAATATTAACTACTCATCCTTGTGTAATCCTTAATACAAGGTAAAGCAGTAATGTCAGATTTGGCTTTACAAAAAATGCATGCAATGATTTTGTTTAAGACAATATTAAAATTGATATTTCAAATCTGGTGAATATCAACTACTGGTACAAAATTCCATATCAAATGTCTACTGAATGATAAAAAGAAATAATCAATGAAATGAATATCAAGTGAGTGGAGATTTATAAAACAGAAAACAAAAAAGGATAAAAGTAAGAAAGGAAGATATAATTGACCTATTTTTATTTTAAAAATTGTTTTATTTGGGCTGCTCATATCATTGACAGTGTTTCTCCTTCTTCTGCTCTCCTCCCCATCTTCCTATTCTTTCTTGTTTTCCTCCTTCTCCTCCTCCTTTATTTTATTTCTTAGCTTTGACCTCGTAGCCACTGGCGGTATCTCTGTTGTCTTACTCTTTGACCGATCACCTTTCCTGTCTGAAAAGAGAACACTCTGGTTGCCCTGGAATCAGTTTATTGTGGTAGAGAAAGTAATCATGCAGAGAACTGTAGCAGACACACCGTCCTGTGATATTTCCAACTTCATCAGCCCAAACCCTATTGTGCTTCCTTCACCACTTACATCATTTGGAGGGTCCTGTCCAGAAAGGGGAACTATTGTTCCTGAGCTTCAGGTAGGTATATTGGGTTTCACATGTCTAAAGTTATAGTCTGTAGGGTGTTTGGCAGTGTATTATGGCTAATTCTTTTTACATCATTCCTGTTGTCTCTATAATATAGATCCTTTAACTTTAAAGAAGAAGCATTTGAATGAAGTCTTTCTAGTAGATTATTGACAAGGATATTAGGGCACCATCAGTGGCCATGAAATAGCAAATAAATTAGCTGTCAAGAGAAATGATCAACTTTGACCTAATTAACACAGTGTCCTAAAAATAATGATAACAGTGTAATCAATGAGCTTGGAGTGTTTGTGGTTCTGAAATTGAAGCTGCTTTAAAAATCAATTTTTCTTCCATTGTGCAGGTTGGAGTTACTGTTATTGTTCTCAGAAGTCATGGAAGCTCTTGTTTAGCTGTGTTTATTAAAGGTGGTTTTCAAGACTGGGGGGGGGTGTACTTTACATAACATTGCTTCCAAGTATTTGAGCTTCATAGTTAGGATCTTAATGGTTTATCATTCCTGAGAATTATTATTCATTAGACAGTCATAGTACTATTCCCAGACAATATTATAGAAATATTCTAATAATATTTCAAGGTGGATGCCACATAAATAAACTTCTAAGTCTTACAAATCCAAAAATCAAGAAATGTACTCCTAAAAATCTTAAAGGACACTCCAAGATTGAATTGACTTTATTCTATCACAACAGCCCCAACACTCTCAGAACTTCTTGCTGAAGAATACCTCACACAAAAGTAACCCACTCTGGGAAAAACAATTCAAAGTGTTGGCTGTCTTGCCTATTCCAACTCTTTTCCTTAGGAAATAAGAAAAACAGGAAACTAAGGAACATAGCTAACTGGTACACTAATTCTTCAACAGATATCACCAGGAAGTATAGATCTTTGTTCAACACAAAGGTTTTCAAAATTAGAATTTATGTTTCCTAATGAAAATTAAATACTAAGGTAACAAATGTGTTATCATTAACTACAATTAAAATCTGAAAAAAGCTAGTGGATGATTTTAATGTGAAACATACAGTGTAGAGGAGAAAATATTAGACAAAGAATATTGAAGAGGGCCTGGAATGATGACTCAGCAGTTAAGTACACTTTCTATTCTTCCTGCGGATACAAGTCTGATTCCAAGCACCCATACTTAATAACCCACAATTGTTTGTAATCCCCCACCTCTTCTGGCCCCCTTGGGCATTTTCACTCACACACACACACACACACACACACACACACACACACCATTAAAAATAAAACAAATCTTTTCTAAAAGGGTATACAAGAGAGATCAGATAATTGGAAATAGCAAAATACCTCAAACCTACTAAAGTATGTGTTGCTTTGTGTTAAACAGCCAATTCCATAGACTATTTTACATACAAGTATGAAGAATTTGAAGGATAAAAGTTCTATGGTAGTAATGAAACAGGACCCAAAAATACTCACACAATCCTCATGAGGTTAAATATAATGCATGAAATGGCCTCCTCAAATATTTTGTTTTGAAAAATGAAAATGATGAAATACAGAATTTAGTATTAGTTACCAGTTTTTGACATTTATCTCCATTTGCAGTAATAAACAAATAAGTAATAGCAATTAATTTGCAAAGCTAAATGGCATTTTCACTCTGAATCCAATGTTTACTATAAGATTTACAGAGGAATTAGTGAGAATTTTCTTTCCTGTCATAGTGCCAGGTTGGAGAAACTTATACCCAGCCATTTGTACATAGTCACAAAGAAAAATGTGAAGAAAAAAAAACCCTATGATTAAAATTTGACCACCAGAGGAAATAGAAGGAGAGAAGAGGAGGGGAGAAGAAAACATGAGGGACCAGGAAGATTGACAGGGACGAATAGACAAGAGCAAGAAAAGACATACCATAGGTTTGAGAGAACTAACACTAGAGAAATGTCCAGAGACCTACAAGGATGACCACAACTAACAATATGAGTAACAGTGGAGAGGCTACCTTACATGTCCTTCCATGATAATGGGATTGATAACTAACTTAGATGCCACCATAGAGCCCTCAACTGGTAGCTGATGCAGACAGAAGTTCAGCCAAACACTGAGCTGAACTCCTGGAGTCCAGTTGCAGAGAGGGAGGAGTGATTAGCAAAGAAGTCTAGACCAGGCTGCAGAGACCCACAGAGACAGCTGAGTTGAATAGGCGGGGGGAGGGGGGGGTGATCATGGACCGCAGACTGATAGCTGGGAAATCAGCATTGTACCGACTCAGAACCCCCTGAAGGTGGGTCTCAATTAGAAGGCCTGGGCAGTATACGAGATCTCTGACAGTGGAACCAGGATGTGTCCCTGTTGCATGAAAGGACTTTGGGAGCACATTCCCCATGGAGGGATACTCCCTTAACCTACAGACAGGCGGGAGGGCCTAGGCCCTAGTCCAAATGACTTCACAGATTCTGATGGTCCTTCCTGGAAGGCCTCACCCTCCCTGTGGAGTAGTTGGGGAATGGGATGGGATGGAGGGGGGCTCTTGGGGAGGGAAATGGGATCGATATGTAAAATAAGAAAGAAAATGTCTGTGATAGATGTGTTCTAGAAAGGATAGGAAGGAATCAAAGAATATATAGAATAGATTTTTGTGGAAATATAGATTTTTCAGTTCTTATATATAGGCTAAATGGCAAGACTAACTCATTTATGTTAATAAAAGAATTATCTGGTTCATGTCAAAAATATTTGACCACCAGATCATTGCAAAGCTCCAAAGTAAACAAATTTGATGACTTCAGTAAAGATTAATTCCCACAATATTTGTCATTACATATCACTTTTTGTGACTGCTTCTGCAACCCTTCCTCTCAGAAAGCCAAGCCTAAATAAGCAATGGATTTGAGATATGTGACATAACACAAAGCAAGGTTCTCTCTCTCTCTCTCTCTCTCTCTCTCTCTCTCTCTCTCTCTCTGTGTGTGTGTGTGTGTGTGTGTGTGTGTGTGTGTGTGTGTGTGTGTGTTTATAAGAAATAAGACCCCTTAATAGAGCCCAGAGCACTCAATTGCTTGACATTCAGCAGTGTGATCTTTCTCAATTCTTGCTAAGCAATTTTTGGAACGTTGTTGAAAGAATAAAATTTTTCTTTACAGTCATTCCTGGCAGCACAAGATGAGAGTAATCTGTTGCATTGGCTGTATCTCTCATTCTCATTCAGATCTGATAGAAAATTCAAAACCTTCAGTTACCCAGTTTCATAAAAACCTGCGAACATGTGACTTGACATCAGTAGATCCCATTATTCATAGGCCTTTAGTCTGTTTCTCAGAAAACAAAACAGCTTCCTCTACCTGTGATCACTGAAGAGCTAATTTTTGTTGTTGTTGTGTGTGTTTCAATTTTAGGTTGTACAGGAAGAAATCCCCATTCCTTCCAGCTTTGTGAGGCTGAGTTACCTGAGCAGTCGAACACCCGGGTATAAAACTTTGCTACGGATCCTTTTGACACATTCAACGATTCCTGTGGGCATGATTAAAGTACACCTCACAGTAGCTGTGGAAGGGCGACTCACACAGAAGTGGTTTCCTGCTGCAATTAATCTTGTCTACACATTTGCTTGGAACAAGACAGACATCTATGGACAAAAAGTATGGGGCCTGGCAGAAGCTTTGGGTATGTTGAAGTGTTTCTATTTAAATAGCAGTACTTTACTTACAAAGCAGAAAATACTAGATGTGTATCAATTTGAATTTGTAGTATTTATTGATTTTTCTTCCAGGTAAGGAAATAAGGTTTTCTTTTTAATGTAAACACCCACTTTGGACCTTTTTAGAATTCTATTTTGATATATTTTTGCTTAAAAATTATTTTTATTTTTAGGATAGCAACACACTACAAGAATCACACAATATCTAACATATAACTCTTTCCAGAACTGAATGTTTCCTTCTAACAGTGACCTTTGGTGTGGTGTTCTGCAGGCCTTGTTTTTGAATTTGACATTTAGACTGTCATTTCCTCTTCGAAGCTACAAAATTCTAACATATAGGCATCTCTACTTGTTATCATTTGTGTCTAAGATGGTTAGGCTCCATTAACTTATTACTTTAGTAGGTGAAATTAAAAACATCATCTTTATTTCCCTTTACTTTAGTTTTCCTATAATCTTGACACAGAGTATTACAATACTATCCAGAAATCTTAGGACAGATTAGAAGCAAAATATCTGGAGGAAGTGTTTTCACATCCTTCCTTGGAAGTGTTTACCACGATAGAACTTTACACAGCAAAACAATATTCTTTTTAGCCTATAGTGTTTCCAATTCTTTTCCTTTGTCAGTGGAAAATGAAAAATCTGGCGTCTTTTCTCTGCCTAGTTATGATTCATATTATTTGACTAACAATATTATCTATGTTGGGCTTTAGTAGAATACAAAGGAACATGGGCAGGTTTGGACCACCCCAGTCCCATCTTTAAGATTTCATTGCTTCCCCCAATAGAGACTGAGTCTTACATATTAGTGAGTGTACCTCTACTACTATGCTAATTTTTCCTTTCTCTCAGGTCTTCAGCTACTACTCCGCTGACTTAACTCATTTTGCATTCAGATTCCTATTAGAAAGAGTATCAAATTATGTCAGCCAGCAAATATATAGCATAGAAAAACTTGTAACTGTACCATGAATCTAATTTCCACTATCCTACTGGCCTCTTGAGTGTAAAAATTATAAGAAAGTTACAAGGCCAGACTCCGCTAGGTTCCGACTGTTTTCCTGGTGAGTAGCCATCCACTCCTTAGTTCTCTTTGATTTCAGTGTCATCATTCTCTCCCTTGCTCCCATAAGACGTGCAGACTTCCCAGTACTGCCCAGTGCTGCAGGTCTGATAGTTTTCTACTCTAGGTTTTTACTTCAGCTTTACCCACACTTTCAGTCCAACTCTTAGTAAGCTCTACCTAGTTCATTCTGTGACCATGACTGATATATACTCAAAGTTCCATAATCTCCCACCCCAGATACTAGCTTGATTTAGGGGACAGAACAACCCAAAATTTCTTACATTTCTTTATCTTCCAATTCTTTAGGAACCTCCTTAGACCCCTGCTTGATTTAGAGATTAGTTGTTGGTGTTGTCACTGGTAATTATTTTAAGCTGTAACATGTACAAATTTATCCAACATACTAATGAAGATCTATTATAATTTTCATTATTTCTTCACAAGATTTATATACATGTAGCCAAATCTGACTTTTAAAAAGCATCAGCTTTGCTGGAACACAATTGATATACCATGAAACCTTCCCTACTTTTACAGAAAACAATTAGCACAATTCAAAATGTTACATAATCATCAGCAATATCTAAATGCAAAACATTGTTGTCATTACCCCCACAAAGCCACTCCATACATATCAACAGTTTACTCTTCACGCCTCTCTCCCCTGTACCTGAAATAAATTAATCTCTTTTCTATCTTCCTATGTTTCCCTAATTTGTATTTTTCAAACTAACAGCACCATACAATAAGTAGTTTTTTGAGTTTGATTTCTTTCACTTGGTAAGTATCAATCAAACAATAACTCACTGATCTGGCTAGTTCAGCTGTCTAGCAAGTTCCAGGAACCCCCATCCCCCATTTCTGCTTCCCAGTATTATGATTATAGCACTAGACTTTGTATGTGTAGTTAGATGACTGCACGCAGGTCCTCGTGCTTTCACAGTAAGCATTTTACTGTATAGTGACTGAAAATCACTATAGCTTCTGGCTACATCGTATTACCAACCTCATTTTATACCTGAATTGTATTTCTTCTCTTAAAATACCTGCATTACTAAATATTCTAAACCTTCTTTCTTGTAATTAATCATTCTCAGTGATGGATCCACTAATACATTTATCTATAATTAAGGAAAGATGTAAACCACATATATAAGCAAAAAAAAAAAAATGTGTAGACTCTAATGATGATTTCTTCATTCCTATTGTTCATCTGTTTGTCACTCTAACTGTAAAACAGCATTAAATAAAATGCCATCTGGAAGGTTTCAGGAGGAAAGGGAAGGACATAAATTTGTAAATGTAATTTCAAAAATTTTAAGTAAAATAATGTTATCGGTTCTTTTGTATGGCTAGTTACAATAATAAAAGCAATGGGCAATGAAAAGCCTTAGAAATATCTAAAGTGTAAGGTAAGACAATGGTTCCTTGTATACTTAAGGAAAAAAGTTTAGAGTGGAGCAAGAAAACTGGCAAAGATTCAAAATAATTGCACAAATATTGCTTAAGCTAAAATATGGATTATTTGACTTGTAGGAAATGTCCCTGTTAGCTAAAGACTGGTGGCTAAAAAGACTTTATTTACTGCATATCCTTTATCTCCATCTACTTTTTCTTAGCTTCAGAAAGAAAACAGGTGAATGTTTATTTTTAGTGTTCACCACATCACCACATTTTAACACATTTTACACTCATTTGTTTAGAAAAAGGTTAGTAAATAAGTAAAAAAAAAAAAAAGAATCTTTATTAAAGGAAAACCCTGGTTTGTCTTACATTTATAAATTGCATCTATAATATACATTAACATATCTATAACTTAAATAGATTCATGACTTATACTAGCCTGTTATTTGTGTTTTTTCCTTACAATAATTGTAATATGTTTAATTAAAATATAATTAGATCACACTCGCTCCTCTCTTTCTTCTATCTAGTCCCTCCTAGCTACCCACACTCAAGCCCCTACCATGTGCCTACTCTCAAGTTAATAGTCTCTTTTTCTTTCATTATTACTGTGCAGTCAAACAGTGCAAATCAATACAATTTTTCTAAGTCAATTTTTTTGTTTGTGTATATGGTTTCAGGGCTGACCACTCTGGACTGGATCACCAAGGGGGTGGGGTGTTTATCCCTAGAACAAGTAAATGCTCCTTCCATCACAGAGACCAAGATATTTCAATAATGGTAAAGCATATGAATAAGTAATATAATAAAACTGGGGGATCAACTACTCTGACTAAGGGTTGTTAACCCCTAAAGCACACACCAGAAAGTTCAAGGGACAAATGTATGGAGGCATTGGTATTAAGTGTGTGATTATCTGGACAGTATGTTAACATTTTGAATATACTCTGCACAAACATTTACTTGCTAACATAGCAATACTTTATTAGTGTACTGCTGTTATTGGAGATAGACAAAGATTTCTATCATATAGTAACAACTGTGTTTTCTGTGGCATTGCTCAGATAGCTTTTAAATTCAAAACTCTTTTTTTTCCTTTTTAATTTAAATTTGAAACAAGGTTGTTTTACATGTCAATCCCAGCTCCCTCGCCCTCCCATTCTCTCCTATCACCCACCACTAAATCCCAGCCCATCCCCTTTCTGATCCCCAGGCAGGGTGAGGCCTTCCTTGGGGAGTCTTCAAAGTCTGCCATATCATTGGGATACGGTCTAGGCCCTCCTCCATGTGTCAAAGCTGAGAAAGTATCCCTCTATATGGGATGGGCTCCCAAAGTCCATTCATATTCTAGGGATAAATACTGATCCACTACCAGAGGCCCCATAGTCCTCCTAACTAAAACCCACATTCAGGGAGTCTGGGTCAGTCCTATGCTGGTTTCCCAGCTATCATTCTGGGGTGCATGAGCTCCCCTTTATTCAGGTCAGCTAATTCTATTGGTTTCTCCAGCCTGGTCTTGACCCCTTTACTCATCACTCCTGCCTCTTTGTAACTGGATTCCAGGAGTTTGGCTATTGTTTAGCTGTGTCTGCTTCTGCTTCCATCAGCTACTAGCCAAAGGCTCTAGGATGGCATATAAGTTAGTCCATCAATATCATTATTGTGGAAGGGCATTAAAGGTAGCCTCTCCACTATTGCTTAGATTGTTAGTTGGGTTCATCCTTATGGATCTGGGCATTTCCCTAGTGCCAGATTTCTCCTTAAATCTATAACGGCTCCCTCTCTTATGGTATCTCTTTTCTTGTTCTCCTCTATTCTTTCCCTGTCTCAATCTTCCTGCTCCCTCATGCCCACCTCTCCCCTTCTCTTCTCTCTTTTTCTTTCTCCTAACTCCCAACCCCCTCCCTCATGCTTCCAATTTGCTCTGAAGGTCTTGTGCCTTTCCCCTTCTTAGGGTCCTCCTTGTTTCCTAGCTTCTCTGGCGGTGTGAACTGTAGACTGCTAATCATTTGCTTTATATCTAAAATCCATATATGAGTGAGTAAATACCATGTTTGTCTTTTTGTGACTGGGTAACCTCACACAGGATAGTTTTTTCTAGTTCCATCAATTTCTGTGCAAATTTCGGGATTCCATTGTGTAAGGCAAAGGACACAGTTAACAAGACAAAATGGCAGCCCACAGAATGGGAAAAGATAATCACCAAGCCCACGTCCGAAAGAGGGCTGATTTCCAAACTATACAAAGAACTCAAGAAGCTAGTTACCAAAACACTAAATAATACAATTAAAATGTGGAGTACAGAACTAAATAGAGAATTCTCAATAGAAGAATCTAAAATGGCTGAAAGACACTTAAAGTGATCAACATCCTTAGCCACCAGGGAAATGCAAATCAAAACAACTCTGAGATACCATCTAACCCCTTTCATAATGGCTTAAATCAAAAATACCAAAGACAGTTTATGTTGGTAAGGATGTGGAGAAAGGG